CCAGTAGATTTTTTTTTTTTTTAAGATTTTATTTATGTCATGAGACAGAGAGAGAGAGAGAGAGAGACAGAGAGACAGAGACAGAGGCAAAGATAGAGGGAGAAGCATGCTCCGCAAGGACTCGATCTTGGTCCCGGGATCACGCCCTGAGCCAGAGGCAGACGCTCAAACTGCTGAGCCACCCAGGCATCCCGAGAACCAGTTGATTCTTGATGCCTTATTGGTCAGATGCTCTGACTCCTTTGAAATTTTGGCTATGACTAAAAGATCATACTCGAATCTCTGTCTTTGACTCACTAAATTCTCCTGCCCCTCTACTTCAAATATCTATGTATTGCAAGGCTCACAAGACAATGGATAGTTTTCTATTCTGAGGATCATCCATCCATCCTCTGCTGCTTTCTCTCTTTCCCCTGTTGCCCAACCTTTGGGTCACTCTCCTTCTCTAAGGCTTCTGCAAACATTACAGAGCCAAGAAGGGATACTGGGAAGTTAACATTCCAAACTAACCAACTGTCCTCCCATTAGCTTCTTCAGTAAATTCTTAGGAGAAGATAGGGGTTGTGAAAATAAATAAAGGAAGCCTTAGTTAAAGTGGCCCTGGGCCCTGTGCTCAGCAGGGAGTCTACTTGAGACTGTCTATCCGTCTCTCTCTGCCCCTCCCTCTCTCCCTTTCTAAAACAAACAAATCTTTTTTTTTTTTTTTTTTTTTAAAGAGGGGTGCCTGGGTGGTACAGTTGGTTAAATCTCTGACTCTTGGTTTTGGCTCAGGTCCTCTTCTCAGGGGAATGAGATTGAGCCCTGTGTCGGGCTCTGCACTCAGCCAGGGCGTCTGCTTGAGACTCCCTCTCCTTCTGACATGCCCCCCACCCCCAAAATAAATAAATTAATAAATCTTTAAAATAGAACAGGGAAGCCCTGAAGGAGGAGCTCTCACATATGTACCAGGCTGCATAATCAGCAGAAGAAGGAAGATAAGAATTATCTTGACAGGGGATCCCTGGGTGGCGCAGCGGTTTGGCGCCTGCCTTTGGCCCAGGGCGCAATCCTGGAGACCCGGGATCGAATCCCACATCAGGCTCCCGGTGCATGGAGCCTGCTTCTCCCTCTGCCTGTGTCTCTGCCTCTCTCTCTCTCTGTGTGACTATCATAAATAAATAAAAAAAAAGAATTATCTTGACAGCAGAAGGCATTTTTCACACAGGAAATTTCATGTTCCACTTATAAGAAAAAAAAAGATCCCTTCCTGCCCCAGCACTAACCTCTGCCTACAGCTAATGAGAAAGACTGCAACTTTGTACTCTTCCTTGTTCTTCTCCAATGAATTTTTGTTTAAAATAACCCTCCCTAATTTCTTCCTACAACCTAATAATAGCTGACTTTCCCTTTGTCTCGTTGGACTTACCTGTGGTTCCCCATAGTCTGTCCCAAATTGCAATTCCTCTGCTATTCCTGAAGAAACTAATTTTGCTGATAACTATTTTATTTTTAAGATTGGAAGGGTTATTTATTTCCGATTCACATCATTGTTATGGTAATATCACCTTCTACTCTTGAAAGGCCATTTATGGGCAGAGAGGCAAATACATGAACACTAGCCTGCAGGAAGCCTCAAGGACAGTAGAGTATGGAATGCTTTCCCAAGAGTCACACTTCCTTCCAATGAAAAGTTCCCCCAAAGTATACTAACAAGGGTCAAACAGTTGCACCAAGAGTTATTTTGAGCTTTTCAATCTAAATTATTGAACTCACACCTGGGGGAATTCATTTCCTTTTCAAAACCTAACTCTTAGTTTTCAATATACTTTTCTCCAACTATTCAACATATGCAACCCAGACTGGCCTTTGTGAGACCAAACAGATGTCCCAGTTGCAATTTGCAAATTAATATCAGAAGCAGTCATGCTAGCAACAGATCCTCTTAAGAAGCCTGGTAATATTTATATAAGTTAATACTACTTTTCAGCATCTTTTGCCTTGCCTACACACTTCTCTGAATTAAAAACATTCTTTTTCATGTGACAAGATAGTAACAAGCCTACAAGTTCATTTTCAGCAGTAGATGATTCACAAACAAGATGTCAACAGGTTTTTACGATTACGGATTCCAAATATCCTGGTCTCACAGAAGTGTTAACAGAGATTGATAGATATTAAAAAAACGAAATAAAAGGGAAACAAGACATATAAATAGGCTTCTTCATTCGAATGAATGATGGCAACTTCTGATCCCATCAAACAGCATTATTCCCTTTTTGAGCTTTTTATTTCATTGTCATTGACCTGCCATCAGAGTCTTTATAAGAGATACAGTCAGCAGAAGAGGCCGAGAGGTAACTAAGGAGATGGGTGGCTGGAAATAAATGTTTCCTCAAGCATTTATTACCCTTCAGAAATGTCCATCAGCTGAAATGTTAGTCCCACAGAACCACTTAGGCAGTGCAGAGGAGAGAGCGGGTAGCTGTTATTAATTTTTAAGGCTGGCAGATAGCTTTCAGTCCAAGAACAAGGCTTAACTTTGCATTCTGAATAATGCAGAGATTTTCATTAGTTAGAATAGGAATTGAAATAATAAATGATACATTGTCTGCCAAAATACTGTGACATTACATTATATATTTGCAGTTACCTTTCAGAATAAGCTTTCTAGAAGTATACTTAGACAAATTGGAAAGCTACCAGTGTTGGCTTTCTTACTGTATGTTTAAATTTTGGAAAAACAAATCAAAAGACACATCTTTTTGACTGCGGGTTGGTAATGTCATATCCAAAGGGCAGTTCATTATTGCACCTAAAAGCTAAGTGTTGGCACAAATTGTACTAGTCTATGAGATCATTGCAATTGGTTTCCAGACATTTCTTTTTGCTCACATTTGCCTTCTGAAGACTCTGGGACAATTTAATTACAACTGCACTTTTGATTTCTACTTCTTTCAATAAAAAATGTAAAATTACACTCACTTGAGAACTATCAAACTAAAAGGTTTGTGATTGCTTTTCCCTGTTGTCTTTCTTCCAGTAGATCATCATGTCAAGTCCGCCTAGAGCACATTTATTTTGTTTTGAGCACGTAAGATTTTTTTCTGGCTCTAAGTTTTGTTTGAATTGATGGTAACACAACTACTATATCCAGATGCCTCTCGATAACTTAATATATGGCCTCAATAACAAACCCTCGAATTAAACCATTAATAGAATAGGCTTCTAGCAGCTGCTTGAATGCCAGTTTGATGGGCATGAAAATAGCTGATTCGGAGATTTCTATAGAGAAACTTAAGCTAATTAAAGACGCCAAAGTCAATGGAACTACAATATCTGCCAGTAGCAATACAATCCATATCCACTGACATTATTATTTTAAAAGAAGGCTGAAAGAAGGTCAAAATCATTTACCCAATTTAGACGAGCTGTTTCTTTTGCATGTCATTTTGTATTTTCAAGTTTTGCTTAAAATCACAAGCCTCAAGGGAAAGTCCTTTATATATTTATTCTAATAGATACAACACTATTGATTAATTTGCCTTTTCTCACACAATAAGGTAGGATGGAGCAGGAGCATCATTTGAGAGCTTCCAACCAGTTCAGGGAGGAAGACAAGAAACAGGTGCTTTTGGTACCTACTCAAATGTACCTTATAAGGGATTCAGCTGGGATTTATCAGGCAGTGTATCATTTTTTGGGGAAGTATTTATTCTAATAATTTCCTTTAGGTCTCAATTCCAGTTAAAATTGTTCCTGCTCAGCCGATTGTTTTTGAAGGTGCAGCCTGTCTCAGCTGTGAGTTGGAAGCACACTGCTGATTTTCTGTGCATTAACTTTGTCAGATTGGGGAACTACTAATGGAGCTCCCAAAAACATATTTTCTGAAGTTAACTTCACACTGGGAAGTGTTGTCATTACAAGAGCACTTTCGAAATGTCAGAAACTTTCTGGTTCATCTAGTGTTTTAAAAAATACCCCCAAGCCAGTTTAAAAGATGGGATACAGTATGTTCACACATTTTCACTACCTGAGAGTTTAATCTCGGGGTCTAATATTTCTTCCAGTTGGTTAAATAAATCCTCGTTGTCAACTGGATTCCAGTTCATATACTGTGACTGCATCTATTAGGTGGGAAGCATTCATCAGATCTCTTTGGAGTTGTGTTATAGAAAAAAGTTATCATGGTTAGCTGAGACTCATCTTTGTTTTTTTAAAGGATAAACTTTATAACCCAGACAGTAACTGCAATGATATAACTGAACCTTTGAGATAGGCGGGTGTAATTTTATCTAATAATGATTTATTTTTTAAAAATTAATTAAAAATTTCTTTGGTATCACATGAGCTCATGACAGTTGTGCCAAGAAATGCCTTATTCATTAGCAGGCACTCAATAAATGCCAGCTTTTAGCATATGTTGCTAAATCTCTGCCCACAGAACTTCAGGTCATATATGTCTTTCATTTCTTTGGTGGTATTCTGCTGAAACATGACTACTTAGCTTTTTAGCATCCCATTAGTTATTTTACAGCATTTCTTTAAAAAAAATTTTTTTTTTAAATCTCACCTTAAAGGTTATCTTTTTTAGTTTTTGTGGAGCATTTTATGTAATATATATTCATATAATTCTTGCTGTAATGGGTTGTGTGGATATTATTGCTACTAATCAGACTTCAAAATTCTGCAGTAGCATACTTACAATGAAACAATCCCCAATTTTCTATTCAATATTATATTTAGATCTCTGAAAAAAAGTTACTAAGACATGGTATGATACCAATCTACAGACTTCCACATCTCTGGGCATTCTCACACACAGCTTAGATTAAGAATTTCAATACTTAGTGCTACCTTACTTGTGTGCAGTTCAGTTTGCATATGTTTGATTGTAACTTTGCCATGCTTCATTTAGTCATTTTAAGTTCCAAATATGAAAGCTTTCATAACCCTGTAATGATTAGCTTTGGAAGCTATATTTCACCTAAAATAAACTAATAGGTAGCTATAATGGTACTTACAGGTGTCCTCTTCTTCCATGAAAATACTGATCACATAACAGGCATACACAAAACCGACCAACTGCAAAGGAGAAAAAAAATACTTTAAGAATCTATGCCAAATGTCCAGAATTGAAGAGCCTATACAATCCAATAAATAAAGATAAAGAATACATAGTAATAATGTCTATGAATCTTAATAGGAAAAAAATTCTATTTTTAAATAATGGCTGTGATTTTAAAGAGCTTTTCAATTTCTACTTAGCTGCAATAGCTTTCTAAAACAGTACACAGGAATGGGAAACTTTTTTTAGATATATGACTTAGATTTTGATTTGGGATTTACAGTTTTTACACTTTAAAATTATCACAGATTATTCAGAACACATATTTTTAAGTTCAGACTATTTAGAGAGCAAATTGTAGCAGCACTCATTATTATTATAACTATTTTAACATTTAATAGCCATAAAAGGAATCAAAATATGCTAATTGTAAATTAAATACCAATCATCAACTTAATTATTTGAAATGCTCGGAGAACATAAATTCTACTTAAATACTTAATTGTTTTGTTAAGTATATCATAAGAAAACACATTAATTTTGAGGTCATTAATCATATAATGACACTGAAGAGATGCTTTATACTTTGGATACCAGTGATTAAATAAATGCAGGTGCCAGAGTGTAGGCTTTCTACCTTTTCATATGATTTTCTGTGCTTATTACACTCAGAAGGCAATTTTTATATTATGGAGCTGGAGACACCACAATTCCTGGAGGACAAAATGGTCAATGCATCTAGTCTAGTCTAAAATTACTCAGAGTACTTGGATGAAAAGTAGATACCTAAATAAAAAGTAGATACAGTCTGTCTTCTTACTTTTCTCTCTGTTGCTATCATATATCCTGTCCTACCCCTTATAGAATAACATTTGGCAAGGAAACTTTTCTAATAGTCCCAGTGTCTAAGGATGAAGTTCCCAATGCAGAGAATAATCTATCTGGTGTTTATGACTACCCTGAAGATTAAGAACCTGATCTTGGAGTTCACCTCCAGACTGTTTTGTTAAACTGGGTAGGTTCAGGTGCTAGCTCTTCTTCACTTGCTGAGATGGATTTCTTCTCACTCTTTCATGAAAATGCAAAAGGACTATGAGCTGAGAGGGCTAGAACCATAGATATTTGAACCAAGATAACTGAAGAGCATCTGTTGCTGCTTGACGGTCCCTTCACGTACAAGACTGTTGGAATGTTGCTTCACTAGTTTGCTCAGCACCTCATAGGAACTGTGATTGAGTTTGCTCACGTCCCTGTAGATGTCCCTCAACTTGGAAATGTTTTGGAAGATGGTCACATAACAGCCAGTAAGACTATTATAAAGAATAGGCAGCTCTTTTAGTGGTTCCTGGTTCAGACCTTTAAACACAGTGTGGTGTTGCTGAACTCTTCCTCAGCCTCAGCTGTACTGGCCTCATCTTTCTTCTGAGCCTTCTGCATCACCTCCAGGTAGTGCTGGGCACTGTCACGGCTCATGAGTTTCCAACCCACTTGGTGATTTCTTGCCTTCATCTCACTGAATGGGCCTATATAGTTTTCCATGGTCCTCAAAGCCTGATCAGTTATTTCTCTTCATTGTCTTCCCAAAGGACATCATTATTCCCTACAATGGTCATCAGTTTCTTATGAAGGTCTCACTCACTGCTGTGGATAACCTATAGGATTTCCACCATTCCCTTTGAGCTTTCAGGCATCACTTTGCACTAAGGGTATTCTTCATGTCCTTATATAACTTTTGGCCTTCCACTACATTCCTGGTTTATTACAAAAGGATATAACTCGGGAAGAACCAGATGGAAGAGATCCATCCATAGGGCAAGATGTGGGTGAAAAGCGCAAAGGTTCCATGCCCTCTTGAGTGCACCACTCTCCCCAAATCCCCAAGTGTTCACTAACCTGGAAGGTCTCACAGATATTTGTTTATAAAGATAAGACAGAGCGAGTTCATCTGAATACTTTTTTCAGATTTTTTTTTTTAACTTAAGTCCTATTATCTTATATTTCTTTCCTGTAGTTTCAGGGCTTTGGTTTATGCTAAAAATATTGTGTTAACTGTGTTTTCTGGAAAGATTTATTGTCCATGTACTGAAGAGAACTGGCCAATATATTTCCTTCTTTTCCAAATGAGTCTTTTGACTGATGGAAAATAAGATCAGGGTTTTAATTATAGTTACAGCCCACTATCTTTCCTCTGTCAGTGAAATTTTTGTTACTGATGAAATGGGAGACACCTAGTTTTAAAAGAACAGATAAATGTATAGCAACAGAAAATCTGTCAAATTCAATTATTCACTAATGGGGCTTAATAATATCTTGATAGATGACAAGAAAGGAATTTTGGCTAGGTAATTGAAATATACAGTACCATTAGCTAGAAACAGTAAGATAAAGACATGCCATACTAGAAATATTAGCTCATTCTCTAGGCCCTCAAATAGAAATTGCCAGCCTTAATCTCAATATTATAACAAATGAATTAATTAACATATATACTTTTACTTTTGCTTTATTGAAGGGCACCCTAATAAAATATTTATTCCAAAAATTTCCTTTGCTATCGTGATTAACGAAACTGCTGCTTAATTAATAATGTTATTCTCATGAGAACCTGTCTAGACATCATGTTAATCACCAATTTGTTGATGGCTGAATGTTTTGTAGTTCTTCGTTTCCCAGAATATGAGTTGAAATAGTCCCTGTGGCTTTCTGCTTATCTCCAAGAAATGGAATAATGTGCATTCTTGCCAACAGCAAAGACACACAAAGTAAATAATACCAGGATAGTCCTGATTATGTCTGCTTTTAATAAAGTTTTGAAGGAGTCAGTAAATTTATTTATTTATTTTGGAGTCAGTAAATTTAAACACACTGCTAATCCATTAAAGCCATCCATCTCTATAGTTACAACTTTTAAATGATTTTCTCATATGTACTGTAAATTCTGACTGCATAAATTCCATTCCATTTTTTTGGTATAGTAAATTAATGCAAATGACATAAGACTAGATTCTAACACCACTTCTTGTGTAAGAGGTTGATTAATTTTTGCAAGTAGGATTTGTATATGCGATTGATTTGTTTTGGCCTGCAGGCCTTGTATAAGGATTGGCAGGATTTGGTTTCACCCATGTAGAAATTAGGACAACAGCCACTGGCTGTGTGTCCTGCTAGTTGTGGATCTTAGTAAGAATGAATCAGAAAAATGAGTCACCTCTAAAAGCATGAGCATCTTAAGGGATCACTTTCAGGTTCAACAGATAGGTGAGAAAAGCTTATCTAAGGAGTTCAGAAAAGCTTGTACAAGTCCTGCCTTACAGAGAAAGAATCCGTGGATTTGAGGGAAGCTAAAAGGATCCTTGATCAAAAATAACTCCCCAACTACTTTCCTAAATTTTCCAGCATTCACACCAACATTTAAACACTAAAGTTTAAGAGATTCCTTAACGAATGACAGAAGTTTCTCTATATAGAACCAGGCTCTAAAATGTTTTTTGTTAGTCAATTTTTCCTCAGATCCAAAATGATTCTATAAAGGTCTTGGCCAAAGCCATCTATGGGAGGCAGGCAGAAGGTGACACAATTTTTTCTGTGTAGAGAGCTTTACCCTTATGAAAAAAGTCATCAAGTTAAATGTTTGCAAGCAGAAAGCTTCTTATGTAATTTATTTATGTTAAGGTGTTAAGTTGCTTATAAAAGAAAGCATAGCTACCTAATATCAAGAACTGTGCAGGGTTTGGGATTTCACTGTATAAGCTAACAAGTTAGCCTCTTTCTGTTTCATGGATTCTGGGTCAGAGGCAAAGGGCTTTATCACTCATAGCTCAGCAGTCAGCATGAGCTTCATATCTCTGCTGCATTCCTCTTGGGTCACGATGGACCCCTGCAGACATAATGGGTTCTGTTACAGGAGAGGAACATTGAGCTACTTTTACAGCAAGGGAAGCAACCTATTCTGCTGGGGTGGGATGGAGGAGTGGTTACCTCCTTCCTAAAGGTTGTTTGCTGAACAATCCTGAGAAATTGCCCAGGTAAAAGTGATTATAAATTTGGAGGTTATCAGTTTATAGGTGGTATTTAAAGCTATTATGACTGGATTAGGACACTAAGGAAATGAGTAGAGTTAGAGAGGGGGGTTAAAGAATGAAGTTCTGGGACATTATGACGTTTAGGGTTTGGAGAAAAGTCTAGAAACCAGAAAGAGACTGAAAAGGCCTGACCAGAAAGGTACAGTGACATAAGAAAGCAAGGGTGTGGTGTCTGAGTGGCTCAGTCAGTTAAGCCTCAAACTCTTGATTTCAGCTCAGGTCACTATCTCAGGGTCATGAGATTCAGCACTGTATCCTGTGTCACACCCAGTTCTTAAGGAACCCGCTTAAGAATCTCTCTCTCTTGGCCTCTGCCCACCACCCTCAAAAGAAACCAAGGGCAATCAACTGTGCCAAAGGTCTCTGGTAGGTCAAGGACAATGAGCACTGAGACTTGACCATTGGATTGGATAGTTTGGAACAGATGGGTGACCTCGATGGGAGTTGTTTTGATGGAGGATGGGGCAAAAATGTGACCAGAGTGGGTTCAAGAGAAAACAGCATGTCAACAATTCTTTCAAGGAGTTTTGGAAAAGGAGAATAGAGAAAGGAACAGTAGCTGGAAAAAGATGTGAGGTCAATGAGGTGTTTTTTTGTTTTTTTAGTTTTAGTTTTTTTTAAATATATATATATACTTAAGGATTTTATTTATTTATTCATGAGAGACACACACAGAGAGAGAGAGGCAGAGACATAGGCAGAGGGAGAAGCAGGCTCCCTATGGGGGAGCCCGATGTGGGACTTGATCCTGGACCCTGGGATCATGCCCTGAGCCAAAAGCAGACGCTCAACCGCTGAACCTCCCAGGCGTCCCTAGTTTTTCGTTTTGTTTTTTAAAGGTGGACAGTAAGGGATCCCTGGGTGGCACAGCGGTTTGGCGCCTGCCTTTGGCCCAGGGCGCGATCCTGGAGACCCAGGATCGAATCCCACATCGG